AACCTCATGCCCTAAATATAAAATTTTCCCAAACATTTCCCAAATATCCCCCGAATTAAAATTTAAATCAGACTCACAGAAACTCCCGTTTACTGTGAGAAATGCCAGAATGCCAAATCATTGCAGCAAAATCTCTCTCCTCATGCCACAAAATGAGGAGAACCAGTGAAAACTCAGACTAGACTAATAAATAAAAGGAAATAATTGTATTGTAAAATTGTCAAATTACTATTATTTTCATTGTTTGTTTTTAGTAATTGTTCCTTTATTTATTTTTTTGTCTATTAATACACACACACGCGCATGTACTGTTTTATGTATTTGTGTTTTATTTTTAATATTTATTTATTTTTTACACACAAACACACAATTTCACTGTTTTATTTACATATTTAATGAAATGTATTAAATTAATTGTTCTTTTGTAATTTATTTGTAGTTTTGGCAATACTGTTGTATGTATTTGAGACAACTTAAAGTAATGCATATGCAAATAAAGTTCTACTTACTAGAAAAGTACAAACATCTGATATTAAATACAAATGTGTATCAACACACTCACTTTATATTTCATATGACAGAAACTGCAAAGATGTTTTCTGCCTTTCTATTAGATTTGAAAAAAACTCTTTTGACAGGAAACGAGAGACTGAAGACAAAAAACGAGTGTTTGCATGAAAATTCATGGTGATGTAATGTTCCATTCTCTCATTATCCTTTTTACATTTTGTTCGAGTCAAGATTTCAGAACACTGATTTCCCATCAGTCCGAGGGTATTTAACTCAAACCTACTCATGTTCCACCTTCTTCCTGTTTTTGTGCTGTAAAAGTGCTTTGAGTGGTCGAAAAGACTAGAAAGGCGCTATACAAATACGGAGCATTTACATTTACATTCATTTTATATTTACCATTTTTTAAACTTTGTTCTATTTTCTGTCGTTACGTTTGTCTCTATAAAGAAAAAGATCTTCTTCACTCTGCTGACAACAAACACATTAAAGTCATTAAAAAGTAATCAGAGAAAGTTTCGCCGGAGATCCAAACACACGAAGGGCGTGTGCTGATCTGCTCAATATTTAGTGTTTATTGTTCAGGCTGTAGAGACGACATCTACTTCCTGTCTGTGCTGACGTTTCTCTCATTTTGTTCTGTTGAAGGCCTTTGTGTGGAGTTTCTCACTGACTGAATCGAAGCTCAGAGTCATTCAGACATTTTTGACGTTCCTCCTTAAACGTCCTAGCTGTCTCATTGTGTCCTCCTCATCATGAATAACTGAAGTTTCTGCAGGAGGTTTGGTGTGAATGTGCGGCAGCGGCAGCAGAGCTGAGCTGCTCTGTATGTCTGACAGATCACGGCGAGCTCATTAATATTCTCCTGACACGAGCGGCTCAGATCATTCAGCCTGCAAACACAGAAACACACTCAGATACAAGACGACATCGCAGAGAGCAGAAACGTGAACCACAACAAGCTTCACACAGCGTTTCTGTTAAAAACATCTTTCTGCAGCATTAAGCAGTGAAACTCCTGCAACACGACGGCTCAGGCAAGACAGAAACAAAGTTCAGTTTTATATGAGCGAGGCGCCATCTTTAATACATGCACGGATCCAGTGGGTCAGGATCCACTTCCCAGAGTCAACAACAACAACTCTCTAGAAAAGCTGTTTTATGACTTTCTGTCCACAGACGGACGTCATGCCGGCTCCTGACTGAGCAGTCCATCAAATCAAACAATACCGCCAGACAACAGCTGTTCACACGCAGCTGGAAACTGAGGCCGCAAAAACAGAGTTTTAAAACTAATACGATCTCCGTCCACAGCAGCGTTTTAGCTGCGTATCAGAGTTGATCTCCGTCTACATTAAAACATCTGAAAATACACATCTAGTGGTTGTTCACGTACACTGGTCATGCAAGCAGATGGTCTGTTCCGTAGGTACAGAAGATTTTGCAAAAGAAAAAAAGTAATACAGACGAAGAACCGTTCCACATTTATTTTGCATGGACCAATAACGAGCTGGGACTGTTACTGAATGTAACACGGGAGCTAAAAGCGGCGGTGGCGGTGGAAAACAGACTGGGAGTCGTTGCAAAGTAAACGGCGACTTGCAAAAGGTCTCGCAGCGGTTGATCCTGAGGTGTAGTTTTTTGCTTTCAGTCAAGGTTGAACAGGCCTTCGGGAGTTTTCCCGGACAACTTGGCCGATAAACCTGTACAGACAACACAGTCTCACTCCCTACTCGTCAAATGTCTGACGCATGGTCAAGGCCCTTTGTCGTCGCTTTTTAAAGACTTGGGTAGCCCTTTTGCATCAATTATTGACGTTTAGGGATCTACAGTCAAGTTAGCAACGCTTAGCAACAATAAATATGCAATATCCGGTTACACTTTCAAGATAAAACGTAACGTTTCGATACATTGCCATGTTGAAACGCGCATAATTAAAGTCGTGAAACGTTGCAGTTTCGTTAGGTTTAGGCACAGAAAGTACTTGGTTAAGGTTAGGAAAAGATCATGGTTTGGGTTAAAATAGCTATGTATGTCAATTAAGACTTAAGTTAACTAACGTTAATGTCAATTTACCTCACTCGCCTAAATAAAAACATTTAATGTTTTGTTTCGCACGGGACACAAACCCTGTTCTCCTGCTTCAAGGTCCGGGTTCTGGCCCTCTATCCACCCCAATCACCTCCTTACTTCGTCTTTTTTCTTAAATATCATACTTGCCTTTACCATCAAAAACTGACACAACAGGGCTTCCCTCAATACGTCGAACTATGACGTCAAAGGGATCCCTAGTGCGTCACAAACTGACGATTATGGCTCTTGACCAAGCGTCCATATGTGACGACTTGGGAGTGAGACCGGGTTGGTACAGAATCACAATAGGGATAAAAAAACTGCAGTTGAAAATCGATTGTTGGTTACTAACCAGCACAAACATGCTGTTACGTTTTCCATGCATCTTGTATCAGCAGAGTGAGTTTCTGCAGCGATAAACACGCCTGGGAGTTTGTTTATTGGTCATCTTACGTATTAGAAATTATTGTGTTATTATTGAAATGACCTCTTGAGGGTTTTTGCCTTGCAGTATCGTTTTATTCCATGAGTCTTGCCTGGCTCCGGCTAATTTAAATCCCAGATGCATGATCCGGACATCCATTTATTGTAACTCAGGGCTCAGCTGAGGTGATGAATACATGGTGTTTCTACTCTTAAATTCAATTTTAATGATTTTAATGGCTCACTTCGACCGTAGCTGTATTAAATTCTGAAGAATGCAGAAATAAAGGATTCTAAAGAGACTGATGCTTTGTCCAGAGAGCAGGCTTCCCAGGGACAAATTCCCGGGCCTATTTTCTTTTGCCCCAGTCCGCCCCTGCAAGCAGTAGATCTTCCTGTTGCTGATCGACCACAGCTTCGACACGGTGTTGCTTCTGGTTCTGACTTAAAATAAACTGAAGCGGCTTGTAGAGGCAGGGTAACTGCTGCAAGCTGACAGGAAGATTTGCTGCAGATGAACTGAGCATCCACTCAACTTAAACATGTTTCCATATCAGAACAAAAAAGATCTGTTCGGAGCCGGGATCAATAAACAGCCCCTCCCTCATTACCACCAGGTCAGACTGTGGTTGTACTGGGCAGCTTCCAGCTGTGAATGTGATCCAACAGAGAGGCTTCCTCTCACAGAGACTTCCCTGAATAAATAAAGATTATGTGCTCAGATTACTAATATGTGTTCTGGATGTAATGTCATATATGTCTCCCCCTGTAGAGGGCAGCGTTCAGCGCGGTGCGAAGAAGACGAAGAAGAAGTCACTCATGAAACTGAGCTTTTGTGAACTGGATTAGATCAACAGATCCAACTCAAACTGGATCCAGGGATCCACAGAGAGACTGCAGGTGGAACCTGAGCTCAGGAACGGGTCCATTTTTCTGCATTAATCTGGTTTTTGGCTGCAGGGGTTTCAAATGACAGTCCACCATTTTGGTTCAGACTGAAATGTCTCCACAACTATCCCACAGATGGAGATCAGATCTTCGCCTCAGGATGAATCCTACCGACCCTCGTGATCCTCTGGCGCGTCACAGAATTAGGGTCACATTCATTTTTTAAACATTTATTTTGCATTTTGAGAGTAACGATGAGAATAAAGTTAAACTTCTTCAGTCCGTCAGATGACGTTAGAGCGAGGATTCATCATGGCAGCTGACTCGACTGTTACGTGATTTAAGGAGTTGACTTCATTCTCAAAATGCTAAATAAATAAAAAATCTTTTTTCCCTTAATGTAGCCCCAGTACTTCGTCGTACCTTCATGAGTGTGATGAAAAGAACTTTTTCTAACAAGCATTCGAGCGGTCAGATTTGTGTTCTTGTTTAACGCAAACAACATTTAACAAACATAAAAACTAGTTAGTCCCTTCGGCGGCCATGTTGTTTCTCTTCAGGTCTCCTGCTGCACTGAAACAGTTGAACACACTGTGTGATCACAGCGTCGCGTGTGATCTCCGTCACTGTGTCTACCGGCCAATAAAACCTCTGGATTCGAACCATTTTAAGATCTCAGCGAGATCAGCTGATGCTGTTTCTGACCTGAACAAACAGATCGATCAAAACACGACTAAAATGAAGAAATTAGACCTGCGTGAAAGGAAAGGAGCCGCTGGCAGAGCTGAGAGCTTGGTGATTAATAAATGAGCAATTAGTAATGTAATTATTATGCTTAAAGACAAACTGATTACACACGTTTCCTGTGTGCACTATCAAAATAAAAGGCAGGAAAAAAATGACCTTAAAAGCAGGAAACCGAGTCAGGCTGCGTGAGGTTCTGACAGAACGTTATGTAATGTTACAACAACACAGTGTGTGGTTCTCCTAGCAGAACACACACACATACACACACACACACGCCTCTGTTTCTGTGTTTAAAGATTCTCTGAGGAACCACACACACAAACAGCTCTGCATGAAAACACACACACACTCAATCTTACCTGGTTCCTTTATCCACCATCCTGACACCAGCGAGCTGACAGCAACCGGACGAAGAGATGATGGAGGAGGAGGAGGAGGATGGAGGGATGCCGTCACCGTGGAAACTGAGGGGAGGCTCGCTCTCTCGCTCTCTCTCTCTCTCAGGAAGTCGTCGTCATGCCGTCAGATTCTCCTCAGCGGGAGGAAAAACCTCCATCTGAGCTTCAACTGAATGACTGAATCCACCACTCTGCTCCTCCTCCTCTTTAACTCACTCCCTCCCTCCTCTCTCTCTGGGTCTCTCCCTCCTCTCTCTCTCCTTCCTCCTCCTCTTTAACGCCCCCCCACATCAGACTCATTAGCAGTAAAATGTGTTAAAACATAAAAACAGCCAGAGGACAGATTTTATTTTGGTCTCTGACATTAATTTCCCTGCTGGACTCAGACATCCATCCGACCTTCAGTGAATAAATATGTTAAGATGGTAAATTAAAGATGAATATATAAATATTAATTCATAATTTGTCTCTAAACATCTGAATTTTTTCAGAATCAGAAGTCAAACTGCGTCACAGAGCAAAAAACGACCTGCAGAGGGAAACAGAGCTTCGGTACGGAGTCTGAAATGTGCCAAAATTTCAGTGCATAATTATTATATATTTTGTATATATATATATTTTTTAAAATTATTATTAACATTAGTATTATTATTATTCATATTATTATAACCTTTATTTAACCAGGAGAGTCCCATTGAGAATCTCTTTTGCAAGGGTGACCTGGCCAAGACAGGCAGCAGCACATGTCAAATAAAAAAACACATAGGTACAGACAGGCAGACAACACAGATGGATAATGAGCTCACATTTCAAAAGAGAAATTTTGATTCAGCTTCACAATTTAAAAACATTTACATCTTAATGAGTCTGCCTCTTCGTTGCGATCTTCGTTGTTACACTTATTTACAACACGGTCATAAAACTTTAAAAGACACAAAACATCTCAGCTGAAACTGAACAGAATCTGGTAAAACACTAAACCAATTAACTAGTATTAACTGTAACGTTAGCTGCATGTGCCGTCACAGCGGCAGGAGAACTCTGCTTAAAGACCTTCTACTTCTTTGAAAGTTACAGCCATGCAAATATGCAATGGTTCAACCAGCCAGCAGTTCAGCTCCCAGCCAATTTGTTATTGAACGATTCTTTGTTGTCTCACTGTCTCCACCTGTTGGACCGGTGGAGCTGGTGATGGCTAATTTTGAGATGTAAACAGGTTGTAGTTGAATAAAGTTGGAGCTCAAAGAATCAGTGTGTCGAACAAATTAGAATAATGACTGTTGCACTAAGAAATAAACTATTAAATTAGCTCTCATTTTAAGATCCATATAAAACACTCTTTCTGTGGTTAATTTCAGTTGAAGTTTATTAAATGCTTAAAAAACAAAAACTAATTTATTAGCTCATTTCAAATATTTAACAATAATTTGTTAGTCTTGCAGATTTTGAATGAAGCTTTGTGACTGTGCTGGAACATTTACATGCACATTTTCAAAATGTTCACATCGACTAAATAATCAAACGTTCTTTCTCATGAATGAAGATCCAAACTCAGTAGAGAAGTCCGATCTCCTCCAAAGGTATACAGAACAAAGAGGAGGAACACTTGTCCTGATGGTGGCGGTGAAGGGTTCAAATTTTAGGACATTTTATTTTGAAAAACTCCTGTAAAGAGGTCACTTTTCTCCTCTCAGGACTGGGCTGCTGATCTTACAGCTGTACTTCATACATCATACAGTATCTCATAAAAGTGAGTCCACCCCTCATGTTTGTGTAAATATGTCATTATATCTTTTCATGTGACAACACTGAAGAAATGACATTTTGCTCCAATGTAAAGTAGTGTACAGTGTAAATTTGCTGTACCCTCAAAAAAAATTTCACTTAGGGGTGTCCTCACTTTTGTTGCCAGCGGTTTAGACATTAATGGCTGTGTGATGTTATTTTGACGGGACAGCAGATTTACACTGTTATACAAGCTGCACGTTCACTACTTTACACTATTATTATAAGCTGTACGCTCACTACTTTACACTATTATTACAAGCTGCACGCTCACTACTTTACACTGTTATACAAGCTGTACACTCACTACTTTACACTATTATTACAAGCTGCACGCTCACTACTTTACACTGTTATACAAGCTGTACGCTCACTACTTTACACTATTATAAGCTGCACGCTCACTACTTTACACTGTTATACAAGCTGTACGCTCACTACTTTACACTATTATTACAAGCTGCACGCTCACTACTTTACACTGTTATACAAGCTGTACGCTCACTACTTTACACTGTTATACAAGCTGCACGCTCACTACTTTACACTGTTATACAAGCTGTACGCTCACTACTTTACACTATTATTACAAGCTGTACGCTCACTACTTTACACTATTATTACAAGCTGCACGCTCACTACTTTACACTGTTATACAAGCTGCACGCTCACTACTTTACACTGTTATACAAGCTGCACGCTCACTACTTTACACTATTATTACAAGCTGCACGCTCACTACTTTACACTGTTATACAAGCTGCACGCTCACTACTTTACACTGTTATACAAGCTGCACGCTCACTACTTTACACTGTTATACAAGCTGCACGCTCACTACTTTACACTATTATTACAAGCTGCACGCTCACTACTTTACACTGTTATACAAGCTGCACGCTCACTACTTTACACTATTATTACAAGCTGCACGCTCACTACTTTACACTGTTATACAAGCTGCACGCTCACTACTTTACACTATTATTACAAGCTGCACGCTCACTACTTTACACTATTATTATAAGCTGTACGCTCACTACTTTACACTGTTATACAAGCTGCACGCTCACTACTTTACACTATTATTACAAGCTGCACGCTCACTACTTTACACTGTTATACAAGCTGCACGCTCACTACTTTACACTATTATTACAAGCTGCACGCTCACTACTTTACACTGTTATACAAGCTGCACGCTCACTACTTTACACTATTATTACAAGCTGCACGCTCACTATTTTACACTGTTATACGAGCTGCACGCTCACTATTTTACTCTGTTATACGAGCTGCACGCTCACTATTTTACTCTGTTATACGAGCTGCACGCTCACTATTTTACACTGTTATACGAGCTGCACGCTCACTACTTTACACTATTATTACAAGCTGCACGCTCACTACTTTACACTGTTATATGAGCTGCACGCTCACTATTTTACACTGTTATACAAGCTGCACGCTCACTATTTTACTCTGTTATACGAGCTGCACGCTCACTATTTTACACTGTTATACGAGCTGCACGCTCACTACTTTACACTGTTATACGAGCTGCACGCTCACTATTTTACACTGTTATACGAGCTGCACGCTCACTATTTTACACTGTTATACGAGCTGCACGCTCACTATTTTACACTGTTATACAAGCTGCACGCTCACTATTTTACTCTGTTATACGAGCTGCACGCTCACTATTTTACACTGTTATACGAGCTGTACGCTCACTACTTTACACTGTTATAAAAAACTACTTTACATTGTAGCAAAAGAGTCATTTCTTCAGTGTTGTCACATGAAAAGATAGAATCACATATTTACAAAAACGTGATGGGTGGATTCACGTTTGAGATATTATTTCTGCTATCAATCAGTATTGCTATCAGTTTCTGTGGGTTGTTCAGGTCGCAGGCAGCAGCTGCTTCCTGTTTCCTAATTAATGCTGTCAGTGTGAAACAGCCTGCAGCTTCCTCGTCATCGGCTCGTATTTTTAAAACTCGACGATGAATAAATGTCTGAGAAGAAACAACAGGATGAAGGTTAGAAACCAGTTTATTAGAAATGAAGACAGTTTGTTCATCAGCAGAGTGTAAACATGCTTCATCCTCTGCTGACAGAAGAGTATAAAGAACATATCAAGTTAGAGGAACATCAGCTGAGAGCGCCGAGGATCCAGACCAATGTTTTAAACTCAGAGACAAACTGCTGAGATTATTGTTTCAGTCTCAGAGAAGTAACAGGAATAACTGACACATCTCTTTGCTCTGGCTTTTCCTTTGAGTTTAGAAACTTACTTCACTAACAACTCCTGATGTTCAGAAACCTAACATCTTTACATTAACACATAGGAATATTTTAGATTTAATATTGTGTTTTCAAAGGGTTAAAGCAACATTATGTAGTATTTGTTACTTCAGAATTAGTTGTGATGCTCCACTGACTGCTAACAGGGTGGACAACGTCACTATCATCGACCCTCCAGGCGGGTGAAGCTTTCTGTGGCGCTTTGTAGGAAAACACGGGCAGGATTTCTATTGCAGGAACCACAAAAATATTTTACGGCTCCACAACAAAACTCTCCAGCGAGCTGTAAGAAGAAGCTACAAGTATTTAATGTACAAGGTGAGTTCTTTAGAAGAAGCTAGCTCAGTATTCTCAAGGTGGACAACATGACAGAGGCTGCAAAGAGACCGGAGAAGACGTCGGAGGAAGAGAGGAAGAGAAAAAGAGAGTGTCACGGACAAGAGTAAATATCAGACTGGCTTTTCCTCAAACTGAGAGGATGCGGCCAGGATAGACGGCGAGCGGACCTTCTTCCTGTTGGACTGGTCGCTAATAACTTATTAGCTGCTCGCTGTGTATGTTTGGCTGTTAGCAAAGGTTTGACAGACAGAGATTCAGCTGCTAACTATAAATCCGGAGTTGATGTTAGCAAATCTACCAGCTAACACAATCTGGCATCGGTAACTTTACTCTAAGTGCTCCTGCCTCGCTTGCTGGCTAGCTTTGTTAGCTAGCTTTGTTGGCTAGCTCGCCACCCAAGTTTCAAGCTACATTATGTTGCTGCTGGTGGAGAGCGGCACCGGTGTTGAGCGGGCAACCGGGCTCAGCCGCCTCTGTGGACATAACGTTAGCTAACGGCAGAGGTGAAGATACCAAAGAGAGCGCTGACGGAGGAAGCCAAGGAGAAAAAGAGAATAGACCGAGCAAGAGGCTGCCGGACGTTGGCGAGAGCTTCGTGACATAAAAATCTGCAGGACAGATGGCGAGCTGGCCTTCTTCCTGTTGGACAAGTAAGTAACATGCTGTGTCTCATGTTGTCGCACCTGCTTGATGTTTGGCTGCAGGTGTACAGCATCACACAAAAAACATATCTCACATAATGTTGCTTTAATCCGCACAAATCGTTTGGCACGTTTAACTTTGGTTAACTGACACATGAATTAGCACCGCTGACCAATCGCAAGACGCCCGACTGAATCTGAACCAGCAGTGTGTCTCTGAGCGCTGACATTTCTTTGATTCTTCGGTCATTTAAACAAAATTTCCCTTTAAAAATCCCCCGAAGGTCACAGAACGCCAAAAGATTTATGAGCAAAAACAGGCAAAATGATCTCACCAAATAAATAACACAGAAAACACGACAATATGGGAAAAAAAAAACCAGACAAACAACAAGAATATTCCCGTTGAGCATCCGCAGCCCTCTGACCTGAAGATCAACACTGTAAACCACCAGAAAGCGCAAAGTTTATTTATACTAGACCTTTTTTTAAACGATCAGCTGAAGGTGAGCCGACACATCAGCTGTTTCCTGCAGGGCTTCATTAACGACACAAACACTGAGCGTCAATAAATCAAATCTGACCCGTCAATCAGGTCTCTGAAGCTCCCAACAGGGACGAGGACAAGATCTGAATCAACCACCGCTTCATCCAGACCGGGTCAGATCAGCATTCAGGGACACTCTGCACCGGATTCACTTCATTACAGTGACATCAATAAATTTTAATGGTAAATGGAAATCAAAGTGTTTGATTGGAGGTCAGCTTGGTGAACACATGACGTCTCGCCGCTGACAGAGCTGAGCTCTGAGTGGATGGTGAGCCGGAGAGACCGAAAAGGTTATCGTAGCTTATTAGCTGTAAGTAGGGTTGGGTATCGTGAACCGGCCCCAAGTTTCCAAGACTTTTTAAGACCCGTGGACTCGTTAAGACCTAAATTCCTGCATATCTCAGCTCCTGACTTCCTGCAGTGAGCATCTTACCGTCCGTCAAAGTGTCTCTGATCTGCCAGCAGCCGCTACGCCGACCTAACGTCACCTCACGTGTTCCGTCAACAAAGCGTGAAGAAGAGGGTCCTTCTGGTTCTGGTCCTGGACCGTGGCGGACCGCAGCAAACGCTCCAAAGTTTGTCTCAGCTTCACTAACAAACTGCAGCAGCTGCAGTCAGGAGGTTCGGTGCGAGGGAGGAAGCAGCTCCGACGTGACGAAGCGTTTCCTTCAACACGGCGTGACTCTGCAGGAATGCTTCAGTGTTCAACGTGTCGCGCTCTCCCAGATCCAGCTAACGCTAACAGCAGCGACGCCTCAGGTACAAAACACAGGTGAGCCGACGTGGTGTCTCTAGGACAGAGACTCCTTTCACTTTAGAGACATGAAGGAGGAAGAGGAGCGAGGAGGATCTGTGGTGAAGGAACCAGAACCGAGTCCATAAGAACCGGATTCAATAAGTAGAATCACAATCGGAAGGGATAACATTGAAACGATACCCAACCCTACAAGTATGTTTGCTTACTGTCACTTTCAGCAGTCACATTCTCCAGTTTCATTAATATCAGATCAATGGTTTGAGCTGATCAGCTTTGAAGTTCAGTATTTGGATAAAGAAGCTTGTGAAAGATCAAGTTTTTCAGATTGAGTCATAGTTCAACAAAGTGGGGGTGCGGACCCCTGTAGCGTCAGTTTGTCGCGGTAAAGGCAGGTAACAGGAAAGACTGAGTAAGGAGGTGGTTGGATTGGATTGAGGGCCAGAACCCTGACTTTGAACCAGGAGACCGGGGTTCGTGTCCCGTGGGAAACAAAAAGTCAACATTAAATATTTTTATTTAAGTTAGGCAAGCTAACTTACTCAAGTGACGGAAGTTACCTCACGTTTTAACTGACTTACGTAGTAGGGATGAAACGACTACTGGTTTAATGATAAACTATGGTAAAATTTCCGACGGTTATTATTACCGTACACATTTGAATTACCGCGCTATTATAAACTCACGGCAAAAACTGTCCAGCTTCATTGAAGAAAAATACCTTACAGTGAACGCAGGGTGAGTAAACTTTCAGCTTTGGTTCGTCTGTCTGACCTGCTAATAGCTTGTAAACTGAAGCTCTTGCTGCTCTTGTTCTGCTGCTGTGTACGTCATGTGTCTGCAGACTCGTCCGACGACCAACCAGCATCTTGTTCTTTTTAAATCCACTAGCGATCAAATTAGTTGTAAAAGTTTCAGAACAGGAGAAACGCTTCAGACTGCTCTGTATTTATGTCATTTGTTGGGCTCATGCAGTCATGCAGGTTTTCAAATGTTTACAGAAGGTATTGGCTGTTAATATTATTTTTTATGCAAACAAAATGGCAATTTTATTTGTAGTTTTCAATATAAAACTTGAGGAAATGGATTCAGTGTGTGTATCAGTACATTTTAATCTTTACAACACCGTGATAATACTGATAATTTTGGTCTCTATAATCGTGATCTGAAATTTTCATACCGTTTTATCCCTAGGACGTGGTTATTTTAAGCCAAACCAGGATCTTTTCCTTAACCTAACCAAGTATTTTTTGTGCCGTAACCTAACCAAATTGCAACGTTTCATGACTTTAATAACGTGCCATTTCAAAATGCCGGTTTTTTAAAATGCTAGCATTTTTATTAAGTCTAACCGGACGTTACATATTTATTGTTGCTAAGCGTTGCTAACCTGACCACGGAGCCTTAAACGTATAAAAATTTACCCAAAGTGCCTTGACCAAGAGTCAGTATGTGACGAGTCGGGAGTGAGAACGTGTTGGTCAGATCCTTATTTAACAAACATTTAGGAGAATATAAGTAATCAGTACTAAAAGGACCCAGATCGAAATATGACTCCCAAGTTATTTATACTCCTTTCAATTATTTAATAGTATTTTATTTTATTTTGGCTGTTTTGAAATGTCCATTAAATGTAACGTGTGTTCCAATAATCATTTAGAGCAACTTCAGCACAGGAAGCAGGAGTTTGTTCAGGGAGTTTAACATAAAAGACGACACGGATCGTCCACGAGTTGAGCCTCCATCAGAACCTCCGGCCGGCGACTTTTCTCTCTTCAGACCCGAGAGGCCAAACAAAGGGTTAACGCAGAGGCCTTTTAGTTGTGAATCCACCGCAGAGCTGCAGACTTCAGGACCAGAACCACCTAAATCTAATCCTGTCTGAAAGCAGCTCAGCGACTTCTCCTCCAATCAGAATGACCTCACAGATTTTCTTTCTGAGAAAAGGAGGAGCTAAACTCGCTGACCTCACCGCTCCTTCAAAATAAAACTTCTGGAGTATCGTCCTCGTCAGGCCGGTAGTGAACACAGGTGACTGTCCCTCTGGAGGGGACATTTCACACATTACAAAGAACATTTTAATAAGATGAGAAGGAAGTAGGGTTGGACGATACGGCCAAAAAGTGTTATCACGATAAAAATCGTCATCTCTTTCGATATCGATAATTATCACAATATCAAATCCTTGTTTCTTTCGAGTTTAAATGCTGATTTATGCTCCTGAGTGAAAGTTGAAGACACCTGATGGTTAACTGTGGTTTAAACTTGTCTTTATGGTCAGTACACTTGATGTGGATCCCTTCACGAATCTGAGGTAGAACATTCAAAACAATCATGATAAAATCAAATATGCACGAGTAAAATTAAGTAAAAGCTTTTTTCGGTCATTTTTCCCCAACAAAATAAACATCTTAATAAAATAATTAATCCCTAATTATATTGCAATAATTATTGTTATTGTGTTATTGTCCAGAAGGAAGCTAAATCTCTTCTTTTAAACCCTTATGAATCCCTTTAAATCCCTAAGGACAAAAATTTCCCCATTTAAACCCGCTATAACTCCTTTAAAAGTGTAAGTATAAATGCATACATATCAGCTCGGGGTGTGACGAGATCTCACGATATTAAAACGTGTCGATATTTCACTTCCAGGTGAGAAAATGTCTAAAAATGTCTCCCTCACAGACGCCCTCCACCTGTTTATGGTGTCTCTCGTGTCCATTATTGGGAACACGACGGCATTCCCACATCTATGAGCATGTATATGACTGGATGCCTTTATTATATATTTTGAACTCTTATTTAAATGATCTTTGTAATGTGTTGTATGATGACCCTGATGACATGTTGGCCTCATTATAAAGTTGTTCTTTATCACAGGAAGGTTTGGCTGTTCTGGTTGCAGGTTTCCCTTTGTACAGTTGACACAGTTTTTAAAAAAGCTCAGTGTGTCTTCCCTTTTTTTTGTCTATTAATTATTAATTGTTCCCGAGTTAGCAAATGCAGAAACAGGCACCGAGCAGAAAGTTTCACATCCCGTTGGTCCAATCGACAAATAGCTTAAAAAACAAATACAAAACACTGGTGTTCCCTTTGACATCTCTCAGATCGGTTCTTAAAGGTAAGGCGTGTTGTGTTGCTGTAACAACGTGACCTCCTTGTGGATTGGCTGTTTCAGATGTCACTCCAGAGGACGGCCAGCCGACTCTTGTCCACGCTGACAACGTATTCACCGGACAGAGACCAGGACACGGCACTGATGGACGAACTAAAGACAGAGAGGACGGGGGTTATTAAAGGAACCGAAAGTAAATCTCTTTGTTCTCGGACTTCAGTAACGTGTGGAGTCCCTGAGGAGGAGACCCGGGGCCACTGTTGTTTCTGTTAAACCTTAAATGGATTAACAGGAACACTTAGAAAAACATTATTTATCCTGGAGTCTTTCTATTCGTCGTACACCGACCATGATTTATTTATATAATGTATATGTCATTTAGAGACAAGCTGAGGAAACCAGTTAAAGGTTCTGGTAGAATTTATATAGAAAAAGCTTTTCAACACTTAACTGCTAACTATAATAATATTTTGAGTGATTTTCACTAAAGATATGCACATTTTTATAGTCGCCCGTCATTTTTCTAGTATTTTGGGTTCCTGGCATCTTTTTACTTTGTTACAGTGACAAAATCATAAGTTTTATAGCTGAAAAAAAAGAAACCATGCGTGCAGGGTAAGGTCACTTTAAAGGTGTTTAACTTTACTTATGTGTACTGTTTATTGTTGTCCTGCATGTTTGCATGTAACAAAAGTAGATTGTGTGTTGTTGCTTCGTGTTATTTGCATGGCTAGCTGTGTCTAAATGGTGTCTGCTGTTACTCTACTGATGTTTTACTGTTTCTGGATGTTTCGCATGGGTTATGTTGCGTTTTTTAGAATTCATGTTTTGTTTTTGTTGTTGTTTTTAGTGTTTCGATGTACTGTAAATTATTTATTTATATTTTTAAGGTTTCAAAACATCTTGCCGAAAGTCTACAGTTTAAAATTAGCCAATAGGCTAACACAGGCACATTTTGTTGTTTATTAATGTGCGATGTCCTTATAAATAAATTAATAATTAACAAAATAAAATAAATTAAAACATACAAATATGAGTGAGATAAAGTCTGCTAAAATTAACCATAATGACCCCGGACTCCACAGAGTTAAAGTAGTAAAAAGCTATGGGAAATATTGCTGTACTCTGTCTTTCACAGCTGCCGGAGTCCCTCAGGGAAGCATTCTGGGGCCTCTGATGTTTCTATTAAACCTGATCTTTCTTCCTAAACTGATTTAGTTGTGACTGGTTGATTCCTGTATTGATCAGATGATCCATATCTCTGGTCGGTTACCTGTGTTTGTCAGGTAGGCGGGTCTCCAGGTTGCCTGTGGAGACGTTCCAGATGTAAACTGCACCGTCTGCTGATCCGACTGCGAGGTAGCAACCGTCTGGACTGAAGAGAGAAAACCTCCAGTTAGACCGAAGGCGAACTGTTCTAGAAGGATCATTCACAGAACCTGAACCATGTGGAGTGCTAGCACAACCTCAGCTCTGCCAGGATCCTCCACCTCCACCTCCACCTCCACCTCCACCTGACCTGAAACGGGTCACGTCAAAGTATCAGGGTTTTGTTCCTGTTCCCGCCGACCTTTCAATTAACAGGCAACCCCGCTCTACCTCCTGAGCCACAGCTGCCACAGGATGACAAAACCAAAAGTATGACGCTGGGTCTCTGGATTCAAGTTAGACCTGCTGGGTTCAAGTGCGTTGTGCCTTAAAGAGGTCATATTATGCTCATTTTCAGGTTCATAGTCTGATCGTTAAGAAGGAGGAGTTTGTAATCAGCTCTGGCGTGAACCGGTAGTCGGTACCGGGGTTATGTGATCCAACTTCTTAGATCTTGTCAGGGTTCTGGCAGCTGCTGATCTGGGTAGGCCAGAGAAAAGTGCTTTACAGAAGTCGAGATGTGATGATGGACGAAGGGCGATTTTAAGAAGGTGGAAGAAGGCAGTTTGCCTCATATACTTGAAGTTTGGCTTGTAAAGATTTGCAACAGTTTTAAAACCGGACTCTGTCACTGATATGTAATCACAGGTGGTACCCATAAACACGAACTGTCTCAGAACAGCCTCTGTTTTCTCATTCCATTGGTACCAGATATCAGGAATTGTCTCCAGGATACTGAGAAATGAGAGAACCCATCAAATCAAGTGTTACCAGACAAACAGAACAAAACACAGCAAGGTTAGCTGTGGATTTGATTAATGTTTCAGCTCGTGGATCTATCTGAGCGGCTTTATGATGATTTACCAGCTGTTCATGGCCGGCTCTGTGTGGAACCTCAGCAGGGAACCCTGACTGTCTGTGTGTGTTCTGGTGGAAACACATTTATAGATTTTAGTGTTTCTGTCAGATGGCTGAAGAGACACAAAGCATCTTGGTCCTGCTGTTGCCATGGGAACTGCAGAAATTTAACCACGCAGCATCTCAACCCCCCCCCTCTGTTCACCTCTCTCAGCTCTCTGGTGGAATGTTTGGATCAGAAATCCAGTGATCAACACGAGACACCAGGTAACGTAGGTGATCAGACATGTTTACGGGTAGCAGCTGTTCTCCGTCACAGATGAGTACAGTTATCATCTTTCTAATCAACCGGTAAGAATCTGGAGGTTTTGGATTTTTTCTTTGTGAATAAATTTTCTTACTTGAATCTTAAAGCCTTGCGGCGTCACAACAAACACACTTCATCAGATTAGTCATCAACGACGCTCCGTCCCAGCAAATAGTAACATAATAATGTCATTAGTGTGACGAGAAGAAGAAGAAGTGGACGTAGCCGCCCTGACGACACCCGTTGGTGTGGACTGCCGTCCTGAAGCCTCCAGTTTGTCATATATTGCTTGTCGGTAACCAGACGAGACCATATTTGGATGAGAGGTTGGCGCTAGCTAGCTTGGTTAGCAAGGTGCATCTGTAATTCATGTTAACTGTGATATTAGCTGGATGCTAATTTTGTCTGGCGACAAACAGGCTTAAAACAAAACATACTCAGCGGAAAAATTAACAGGTGTCTCCATAAGTGTGTCTTTTATAAAGCTTTTCACATCAAGGACCCCTAAATTAACACAGATTAGACCACAGACCTCCATTGGATAAGATTTTGTCCCAGGGTCCCCCATCTGATAGGATTATTGCTTTTGGATGTTTTATTACAGAAAGTGTTTGAAACCCATGACCATAATAGTCAGCCATTCTGTCACTGAGCTACTTATGGATGGAATTTTAATAAAAATAAATCATTCCCCTTTTTGCTGTGGACCCCCTGGAACCCCCTCAAAGAACCCGCTTTGAAAACCACTGTTTTAGAAACACCAAGACGGGAACTCTGACAGCGTCCAAACACAAGTTCTCAGCTGGTTAAATGTACACAGACCAGTCGCCTCTATCCTCATTACTTTGTCAGCTTGTAGCCCCGCCCTAAAGCCTCCCCTGCTTCCTGGTCTCTGTTCCTCTAAATGGGACCATAATTTACTAAATGAACATCATGCTGTGTTGAAGAAGACTTGAAACTAGCGACTGAGACCAGAAACTCATCAGGAAAGTGTTTACTGAGGGAATAAATCAGCTGACAAGTAGAAACATTTTCTCAGAGACCACCAACCAGTTTCTATCACACAGCCCAAAACCACGCAGGGTTATAGTCCATTTCAGAAAAATGTATATTATTGCATTAAAATGACTGATGCATTAATGTGTTCATCACTTTAATGTTGCAGCTGTTAAAGGTGGAGCAGCTTGTGATTTCCCCCCAGAGATCAATAAAGTTTTATCTTAATCTTTAATACCACACCATATTTTATCTGCTGATTTTACTCAAGTAACTGAAGCTATCAGATGAATGTAGTGCAGTAAAAAGTACAATATTTCTCTCCGTTCTGCTGTCACAGTGAAGTCAGGTGACCAGGTGAGTGACGTGCAGGTAAACTCACCTGATAACAGCTTTGGTGCTGTCGCTGCCACATTTAAAGCCCTCGGCTCTGACGGACACAGACACACAGAATCAATCAGCAGCTGTTCAGAACAAACACACAAACTAACTTTACCAAACTGTGACGTCTCTACCTGAAGCACACGCGGTCGTTGCTCCGCCTCCTCAGGTCGACCAGCTGGAGGCAGTCATCACGGCAACAGCTGAGCAGCTGACGGTGGTCGGGGGTGATGTCCAATGAGGTGACTTTACCCTGAGCAGGATGCTCTTGAACACAGCCGACCGTCCTGAGGGACGACAAAACAGCTTTGTTTACTTCATCTGATTTCCAGTATTGATCCCGATCGCTCACAGTTTCTGAGTGACGCATCAGCAGAAGATCAATACGGTGAAGTGTTTCTGTGATCCTGAGAGCGAACTTCGACCTGCACTGACAGTTTAACCTCCTCCAGTCCTCTCCAGCCCGGCTGGGAGTGATGTTTTTGAGACTTTGATACATAAACAACAGATAAACAGCTTTACAGATAAAAACTAAAAACACAGAGAAGACACAAACAAAACAAATAAACCCCCATTTAGATTAAATTCGAGCCTCATGAAGCCAGAATCCATCTGGAAAATTCCATTTTCTCTACATGCTCTAAATTTGGAAAACATGCAGCGAGACCGGACTGACCAATATGTGCCGACCAATCACAGAACAGCACATCATGTCCTCTGTGTCTGCGTCCACAACAACAGATCTCAACAGTGAGGCCTTTATTGGGATCTTGAATGTAATCTATAATTTGGTAACCATCCGATGCAGACTCACCACCAGCTGCGATAGATATGCTCCTGTAGAAGCCGCAAGTCTGTCTGATACTAAACTTGTTTTTAAGAAAAATCATAAGTAGTTCCTTCACTCGTTTAAGTAATAATGTACACAGTCTTGTACTTTTATGCCTTTTTCCGTTTTTTCTTGTAGTTTTTTTTGCTGCGATTCAAATGTTTTATGGTCATCAGAGTTTCCTATACCAAAACAATCCCTCGCCCCCCTTTCACAAATGACAAATAGCGGAATCGCTGAATTTGACTATAAAAATGAAATTAACTGTAAAACATGGAATATCGTGGAATTGGCCAAAATGTTTAATGTTTGATTTATAAAAAAAAAAAAAAAAAAAAAGGGCTTTTCCAGTATTACAAGTGTTGACAAACAAAAAAACTACGATGCTATGTTTTGGCGTTTACAGGCTTCTCTGTGTCTGTGTTTCAGCGAGGGCGGGGCTCAGTGTGGGCGGGGCTCAGCGAGGGCGGGGCTCAGCGAGGGCGGGGCTCAGCGAGGGCGGGGCTCAGCGGTTTCTCCAAACACACAAGAATAAAGTGGTGAATGAGTGAAGTAATAAATGAGTGCAGTGGTGTAAAAGTAAACTTGTGAATGACTGAAGTCATGAATAACTAAAGTGTTGAATGAGTGAAGCAGTGAAGTAGTGAAGTGTTGAATGAGTGAAGCTGTGAATGAGTGAAGCGTTGAATTAGTGAAGTAATAAATGTGTGAAGCTTTGAATTAGTGAAGTAATAAATGAGTGAAGCTTTGAATTAGTGAAGTGGTGAATGGGTGAAGTGGTGAATGAGTGAGGTGGTTAATAAGTAGAGCGTTGAATGAGTGAAGTATTGAATGAGTGAAGTAATGAATGAGTGAAGTGGTGAATGAGTGAAGCGGTGAATGAGGGAAGCGTTGAATTAGTGAAGTAATAAATGAGTGAAGCGTTGAATTAGTGAAGTGGTAAATAAGAAGAGAAGTGAATGAGTGAAGCTGTGAATGAGTGAAGTGGTGAATGAGTGAAGCTTTGAATGAGTGAAGCGTTGAATTAGTGAGGTGGTTAATAAGTAGAGCGGTGAATGAGTGAAGTAATGAATGAGTGAAGCGTTGAATTAGTGAAGTGGTAAATAAGTAGAGAAGTGAATGAGTGAAGCTGTGAATGAGGGAAGCATTGAATTAGTGAAGTAATGAATGAGTGAAGCGTTGAATTAGTGAAGTGGTAAATAAGTAGAGAAGTGAATGAGTGAAGCTGTGAATGAGGGAAGCGTTGAATTAGTGAAGTAATGAATGAGTGACGCGTTGAATTAGTGAAGTGGTAAATAAGTAGAGAAGTGAATGAGTGAAGCTGTGAATGAGGGAAGCGTTGAATTAGTGAAGTAATGAATGAGTGAAGCGTTGAATTAGTGAAGTGGTAAATAAGTAGAGAAGTGAATGAGTGAAGCTGTGAATGAGGGAAGCGTTGAATTAGTGAAGTAATGAATGAGTGAAGCGTTGAATTAGTGAAGTGGTAAATAAGTAGAGAAGTGAATGAGTGAAGCGGTGAATGAGGGAAGCGTTGAATTAGTGAATTAATGAATGAGTGAAGCGTTGAATTAGTGAAGTAATGAATGAGTGAAGCGTTGAATTAGTGAAGTGGTAAATAAGTAGAGAAGTGAATGAGTGAAGCTGTGAATGAGGGAAGCGTTGAATTAGTGAAGTAATGAATGAGTGAAGCGTTGAATTAGTGAAGTGGTAAATAAGTAGAGAAGTGAATGAGTGAAGCTGTGAATGAGGGAAGCGTTGAATTAGTGAAGTAATGAATGAGTGAAGCGTTGAATTAGTGAAGTGGTAAATAAGTAGAGAAGTGAATGAGTGAAGTGTTACCTGGTGTCCCAGACTCTGATCTTACAATCATAGTGTCCACTGATGATACAGTTCTCAGAACAGACCAGGTCACTGCAGTACGACGCCACTTCAACTACCTGCACACCTACAGAGGTAAGTTCATCTTCATCAGTCCCTAATCAGCCGGTCATCGATGATTAACCAGACATCGATCAGTCAGTTATCAGCCAGTGACAAGTTATCAATAAATTATTGATCAGACTCACAGGCGGCTCTTTGTAGGTCCCACAGTCTGATGGTTCTGTCTGCGCTGCCAGTCACCACCTGGTGAAGAGAACTGAACCTCGCTGCAGTTACCTTCCTGCTGTGACCTGTCAGAGTCAGCTGAGACAAGGAAGACAGACAGGTGAGCAAGAGAGGGCGAGACACATACAGGTGAGACAGCGAGAGAGAGGGAGAGCGAGACACATACAGGTGAGACAGAGAGAGGGAGAGCGAGACATACAGGTGAGACACATACAGGTGAGACAGCGAGAGAGAGGGAGAGCGAGACACATACAGGTGAGACAGCGAGAGAGAGGGAGAGCGAGACACATACAGGTGAGACAGAGGGAGAGAGGGAGAGCGAGACACATACAGGTGAGACAGAGAGAGCGAGCGAGACACATACAGGTGAGACAGAGAGAGCGAGCGAGACACATACAGCGAGCGAGACACATACAGGTGAGACAGAGAGAGCGAGCGAGACACATACAGGTGAGACAGAGAGAGCGAGCAAGACACATACAGGTGAGAGAGAGAGAGCGGGAGAGCGAGACACATGCAGGTGAGACAGAGGGAGAGAGAGCGAGCGAGACACATGCAGGTGAGACAGAGAGAGAGCGGGAGAGCGAGACACATACAGGTGAGACAGGGAGAGCGAGCAAGACACATACAGGTGAGACAGAAAGAGAGAGGGAGAGCGAGACACACACACAGGTGAGACAGAAAGAGAGAGGGAGAGCGAGACACACGCAGGTGAGACAGAAAGAGAGAGGGAGAGCGAGACACACACACAGGTGAGACAGAAAGAGAGAGGGAGAGCGAGACACATACAGGTGAGACAGAAAGAGAGAGGGAGAGCGAGACACACACAGGTGAGACAGAGAGAGAGAGGGAGAGCGAGACACACGCAGGTGAGACAGAAAGAGAGAGAGGGAGAGCGAGACACACACAGGTGAGACAGAGAGAGAGAGGGGGAGCGAGACACATACAGGTGAGACAGAGAGAGAGAGGGAGAGCGAGACACATACAGGTGAGACAGAAAGAGAGAGGGAGAGCGAGACACATACAGGTGAGACAGAAAGAGAGGGGGAGCGAGACACATACAGGTGAGACAGAAAGAGAGAGGGGGAGCGAGACACATACAGGTGAGACAGAGAGAGAGAGGGAGAGCGAGACACACACACAGGTGAGACAGAAAGAGAGAGGGAGAGCGAGACACATACAGGTGAGACAGAAAGAGAGAGGGGGAGCGAGACACATACAGGTGAGACAGAGAGAGAGAGGGGGAGCGAGACACATACAGGTGAGACAGAGAGAGAGAGGGAGAGCGAGACACACACACAGGTGAGACAGAAAGAGAGAGGGAGAGCGAGACACATACAGGTGAGACAGAGAGAGAGAGGGAGAGCGAGACACATACAGGTGAGACAGAGAGAGAGAGGGAGAGCGAGACACATACAGGTGAGACAGAAAGAGAGAGGGGGAGCGAGACACATACAGGTGAGACAGAAAGAGAGAGGGGGAGCGAGACACATACAGGTGAGACAGAGAGAGAGAGGGAGAGCGAGACACACACACAGGTGAGACAGAAAGAGAGAGGGGGAGCGAGACACATACAGGTGAGACAGAAAGAGAGAGGGGGAGCGAGACACATACAGGTGAGACAGAAAGAGAGAGGGGGAGCGAGACACATACAGGTGAGACAGAGAGAGAGAGGGAGAGCGAGACACACACACAGGTGAGACAGAAAGAGAGAGGGAGAGCGAGACACATACAGGTGAGACAGAGAGAGAGAGGGAGAGCGAGACACATACAGGTGAGACAGAGAGAGAGAGGGAGAGCGAGACACACACACAGGTGAGACAGAAAGAGAGAGGGAGAGCGAGACACACACAGGTGAGACAGAAAGAGAGAGGGAGAGCGAGACACATACAGGTGAGACAGAGAGAGAGAGGGAGAGCGAGACACATACAGGTGAGACAGAAAGAGAGAGGGAGAGCGAGACACATACAGGTGAGACAGAGAGAGAGAGGGAGAGCGAGACACACACAGTGGAGACAGAAAGAGAGAGGGAGAGCGAGACACACACAGGTGAGACAGAGAGAGAGAGGGGGAGCGAGACACATACAGGTGAGACAGAGAGAGAGGGAGAGCGAGACACATACAGGTGAGACAGAGAGAGAGAGGGAGAGCGAGACACACACACAGGTGAGACAGAAAGAGAGAGGGAGAGCGAGACACATACAGGTGAGACAGAGAGAGAGAGGGGGAGCGAGACACATACAGGTGAGACAGAAAGAGAGAGGGAGAGCGAGACACACACACAGGTGAGACAGAAAGAGAGAGGGAGAGCGAGACATACACAGGTGAGACAGAGAGAGAGGGGGAGCGAGACACATACAGGTGAGACAGAAAGAGAGAGGGAGAGCGAGACACATACAGGTGAGACAGAAAGAGAGAGGGAGAGCGAGACACACACAGGTGAGACAGAAAGAGAGAGGGAGAGCGAGACACATACAGGTGAGACAGAAAGAGAGAGGGAGAGCGAGACACATACAGGTGAGACAGAAAGAGAGAGGGAGAGCGAGACACATACAGGTGAGACAGAGAGAGAGAGGGAGAGCGAGACACATACAGGTGAGACAGAAAGAGAGAGGGAGAGCGAGACACATACAGGTGAGACAGAGAGAGAGAGGGAGAGCGAGACACATACAGGTGAGACAGAGAGAGAGAGGGAGAGCGAGACACATACAGGTGAGACAGAGAGAGAGGGAGAGCGAGACACATACAGGTGAGACAGAAAGAGAGAGGGAGAGCGAGACACATACAGGTGAGACAGAAAGAGAGAGGGAGAGCGAGACACATACAGGTGAGACAGAGAGAGAGAGAGGGAGAGCGAGACACATACAGGTGAGACAGAAGAGAGAGGGAGAGCGAGACACATACAGGTGAGACAGAGAGAGAGAGGGAGAGCGAGACACATACAGGTGAGACAGAGAGAGAGAGGGAGAGCGAGACACATACAGGTGAGACAGAAAGAGAGAGGGAGAGCGAGACACATACAGGTGAGACAGAAAGAGAGAGGGAGAGCGAGACACATACAGGTGAGACAGAGAGAGAGAGGGAGAGCGAGACACATACAGGTGAGACAGAGAGAGAGAGGGAGAGCGAGACACATACAGGTGAGACAGAGAGAGAGAGGGAGAGCGAGACACATACAGGTGAGACAGAGAGAGAGAGGGAGAGCGAGACACATACAGGTGAGACAGAGAGAGAGGGTGCTAAGTAGTTTAGTTGGTGGTTAACGGTTACCTTGGGAACGGAGTCATCCAGCCGCCACAACAAGGCTGATTTGTCGTACGAAGCTGCGAGGATCCGCAAACCCTGAAAGAAGTTCACAGGTATCAGACTGACCCGGGAACAGTGACCCAGCTCAGGCTGAGGTGCTGTACTCACCGTCGGGTCGAACTCGATGCAGGTGATCCCCTCTGTGCTGCCGTCCAGCGTCGCTCTGTGGGTCAGCGAACCTGATGACATCATCAGTGAGGTCACAACGCCTCATCAAACATTAACAGCATAAAAGTTCAATGAATAACAAAACGGAGAACGTACCTGCCCGGACCTCCCACAGTTTAACCACTCTGTCTGTTCCTCCGGTGGCCAGCAGGCCTGAGCTGGTGCTGAACCTCACTGCGTTGATGCCTTGCTCGTGGGCCTCCTGAGAGAGAGCGGGAAGCGGTCACAGCAAGCCAACACTCAGCGTTTCTCCCAAAAACTCAGTGTGTGCGTCACTGAATCTGTCGGAGTCCATTAAACATTAAACGTCTTGCTTCGACGTGTCTTCGTGCATCGAGATAAACAAACTGCACTGGATTGTTCTACATTTTCTGCTGTACTCAGAGTTCATGGACACAAAAACAGTAACCACCATTTTTCTGCAGCATCTGCAGGCTGGCAGAAGGAACACCTGAACTTTACGTCCGGCTCATTCAGAGCTAATTCAGAACTTTCCTGGAACATGTTAAACTATCTCAGAGATCTTTTTGTAAAGCTAATTTGCAAATGTTTGAATTTTACTTGTAATTTGTGCTGTGAGATCACGGCAGAACTGAATTTTACTCTCACCGGACAAACAGGCATTGAAACATTTCACACAGCTGACTTTCTAACTTCAATGCTAAAACTGTTCAGATTTTTGTTTTCCACATTTTTTTTGGCAGGAGCTGCACTAAATTCAGCTATTTTGGGCTGCAAAGTCTAAAGTCTAATAAAGGCATACAGAGAATGGCCATGAACACGTCAGTATGAGTCCTGACAGGACCTGTGGTCAAATTAGCAACAATAAATATACAACGTCCGGTTAGACTTTCAAACGGCATATTGTTAATGTTCTGAAATACTGCAGTCTGGTTAGGTTTAGGCAGCAAAAGTACTTTGTTAGGTTTAGGAACAATATTAAGTACATCAGTTAACTTACGCAAGTTAAGTAACGTTACTTACGTGACTTAAATGAAAGCACTCATTGTGGACTTTTTGTTTCACATGGGAAACGAACGCTGAAAGTCCGGTTTCTGGCCCACCGTCCAACCCAACCACCTCCTTCCTCTTTCTTTTCCTTTAAATATCATCATATATTGGGGTTGTGCAATATGTCATTTGTGCAAGGGTTGCGCTACATGGCGGGGAATGCAGCCGACAGGGTTGTTCAATCAAAACTGGCATTGGAAGGAGGAGTCCATGTGCTACTATATAGGGAACTGAGAGATGTTTTATTTCTGTATTTTGTGTTGTCTTGTAAAGCTGCCTTTAGCGTAACTACCTTTAGCGTAACTACCTTTAGCGTTCAAAAGGGACGCTACAGGTCTTCCCCCAGAGCGCTGAACTCAAGCGGGAAGCTTCCGGTCAGCCATCTGATGCGAACCCGGAAGTCCCTGAAACCGGCATTCAATTGAACGGCCAGCAGGGGGCGACTCTTCTGGTTGCAAAAAGAAGGCTCCATTAGAAATAATGTCCACAAACAAACAGGTGACGTCACCATGACTACGCCCATTCCTTTTACACAGTCTATGGTTTAATGATGACGTTGTGGGGGTAACCAGTGAGTTACAAACTGACGCCAACAGTTCCATTTGTCACGTATGGGGTCAGAACTCGGAGTACACCTCGGAAAACCAGTTCCGAGTAAAAATTGGACGCACCTGAAAACCCAACAGACAGACAGCTGACAGGCTTTGACTTTCACTTTCCGGCTGAGCTGTGACATCGGCTCACCGCTGAAGAGAGGTGGTCGGTCGACCCCTAGTATTGATAATAACATAAGCAGCCCTAACCCAAAAGTCCCTTTGACGACATTAAATATTGTGTATTTTAGAGATTCCAGACTCCCCGCTCCGGCTCGTGTCTTCCTTTGCACACCCCAACAACATACTGTTTATATTCAAATACAGGTCAGCAGCACGCCTGGTAACTGAGCGGTACTAAGAGCTCGTACATGTTTATCTTCAGCGTTAGTTCCCAAACACAGGGAAGACAAATAATAACAGTGCGGATTACCAGGACTTGCAGAGCTCTAACGGGGACTCGGGCTGACAGACAGATTCCTACAGGACACATCAGATCCTCCTCCAGACTGCAGACCGAGTGGCCACGCCTCTTCCTGCTGACATCACACACACAGTCACATGTACGTTTAAAAGCAGCTCAGTGACAAACACAACCTTATAAGGAAATGAGAACCAGAGCTGGACTCACTCAAACAGCTCTCTGATGGAGGTGAGGATCCTCGGCGACGAAGCCGACGCTGATCTGAGAGGAAGAAAGTGACTGAGTGTTTAAACGTTTTCAAGTCACGAGTGGAGCTCCACGGAGAAGTAAAGGCTCCCTACAACGTCAGAGGAAGAACTAGAAGGTTTAAAGTGATCAAACATCAGTAAGAGAGATGTTACCTGAACAGCCTGGTGTGTCGTCTCTCGGTGGACTCTGGGTTTTCATTCTTGGGAGATGTGGATCTGGAGGTCGGAGCGCTGTAAGAGCTGAAACGCAAAGTGAGGTTGAACACGATCATCGTCTGCACCCGCTGTTCATATTAACTTTGGATGTTTCGATTATTTAATGTTTGCTAATTTGAAGTCAGAGATCAACAGAGGACTCATCTAGCTATGAATCAATGTGGCTCCAGATTTTATTTCGCATGGACCAATAATGAGCTGGGACTGTTACTGAATCAAACACGGGAGTAAAAGCGGCTGTGGCGGCGGGAAAAATTTGCACAATCTAAAAGCATCGTGTCTCAGCTTTGCATGATTAATGAGACCCAATCAGAGCGCCGAGCGTGAGTTTTAGTCTGGACGGGAGGTAACGCAGCAGTGTGGACGGGGCCACACTGTCCAGACTAAAACGGCAAATCCGAACACCTGAAATGGAGGACTTTAAAAACGATGACGCAGACGCTCATGTTTAAGAAAAGATCAGCCTTTATTTGTCTCACAGGTGAGAAATTTCAACATTACAGCAGCAAGTGGATAGCATGGAATTAAGTAAAGTGACATTAAACATAATACTAACAATATCAAATCAAAAATAGATTATACTATAATTTAAAAAACTATGTTTTGACATCTATAAAACAAATGACCAAACATGAAACACTGCAAGTGACTATATGCATGTTGGCTTGTTTTTCCTTCAGACTTTAAAACAGATTAAAACAAATTCCAACATTAACGATGCAAAGTGACATTGTGCATAGATTTTCACTCAGTCTGTGAGTTGTGGTTACTATTTAATACTTAATAGTGCTGATTATGAAGTCTCACGGCTGCAGGAAGAAAAGATCTTCTGAATCTCTCCTTCACACAGCGTGGGTGTCTCAGCCGGCCACTAAAGGAGCTGCTCAATGATGTTAGTGACGCATGAAGGGGGTGTGTCGAGGGCTCCAACATGGATGAGAGCTTAGCTCTCACTCTCCTCTCTCCCACCACCTCTACTGGCTCAAGTGAATGTTCACAGGTACCGTGGAGACATGTTTACTCCTGCTACGTCCACCAGCTCCTTAGTCTTTGCTGCATTGGAAACGAGGTGGTTCTGATTGCACCAGTCCACAAACTCCTGATTCAGGTCTCTGTACACTCTGTCATCCCCATCAGAGATGAGACCAAGGACAGCAGAGTCATCAGAGACCTTCTGGAGGAAGCAGTCTGAGGTGTTGAAGGTGAAGTCTGCAGCGTAGAGGGTGAAAAGGAAGGGTGACAACAGTGTTACTTGTGGTACCCCCCGTGCTGCAGACCACCGTGTCAGACTGACAGTCCTTAATCCTTTTTGGTTTGGCTTCCTGATCGGCTTTTATCAGTCATGCAAAGCAGAAACACGATGCTGCCGACAGAGTTTTATTTCCTATATGTTGTACTGTGTAAATAACACTTCTACACTTGTACTGTGCAGGTCTCCGTATTTACTTTGCGGCGACTCCCAGCCTGTTTCCCGTCGCCAAAGTCTCTTTGTCCTCCCGTGTTCCTCTCAGTAACAGTTCCACCTCGCTGTCGGTCCATGCAGAGAAATCTCTGCTGTGGTTCTTCACCATCGCTGCTCTTCGTTCGTCTCTTGTAGAACCGCAGAGTAGACACACCGCACATGCCCAGTGTACGTGAACGGCCACGTGATTTTCTTTTTTTTTTTTTTAAACAGACAGAGATCAGATCTGATACGCAGCTAAAACGCTGTTGAGGACGGAGATCTGAACGTGGATGTAGCCTGAGTCTGTAAACTCAGGTTTTGCTTGAGGGACTTCTTTTAGCTTACAGCTGATGACGAGTCTCGGGGTCGGCTCAAGTCTGTCACTACACTAGGGGTGCGACAATATATTGTTGTACATTTTTCCACAATACTGTATCAATATTCAAATATAAAATAGTGCTTCGACCGTTAGCTCAAAGCTAACATATAATGGGAATCTCCATTAACATGCTAACGGACTTTAGCATCGCGAAGATACAATCTTAACATAAACTACACATTTTGCTTCACATGCTGAACATCCTGAGTGAAACGCTGTACATATGTTTCCGGAGCTCTGTGTGAAATAAAAAAGAGCTGCTAACGTCACTGGCTTGATTTGCTGCTTCTGCACTCCACACAGACCAGCTACAGCAACCCCAAAGGGTCAAAACTCAAACCCAAAATTCCCAGTGGCCTAAAAATAAAAATACAGCTATCAGCAGGAAGAGAGAGGGCAGCACAACGCTGTGTCACCAAACAGTTATTAATATAATGTGATGTACAGATTAGACTTTGGTGGTACACAGCAATTAAAAATTCATGTGCCTTTTATAAACAAATGTTTTGATAATAATTTTTCATAGTTGCTCTCTAGTTTTATTTACAGACTGAGCAGAATTGCAGCACATAAATGGAGAAAACTTTTTCACGGGCATTTTGTATTCATATTTAGACAGATATCATTATTCCACTTCCTGGCTTTGCACAGACTCATGGTTGGAGCCGTTGGAGGACCCGATTATAGGTATTAAGGAAGGTTGCTGTAGAAAAGAGATCAGGTGGATCTTACCTGTCTATGTTGACCATTGACCTCGCTGCGGTCTGCAGGTCCTTCTGCAGGTTAAGTTCTCGAGCTCTGAAACATACAGACAGTGCGATGTGTTCAGGTACCTGACTTCACTTTAACTGTGTGATCAACAGGTGTATTAGAGTGTGATGGACAGGTGTATTAGAGTGTGATGGACAGGTGTATTAGAGTGTGATGGACAGGTGTATTAGAGTGTGATGGACAGGTGTATTAGAGTGTGATGGACAGGTGTATTAGAGTGTGATGGACAGGTGTATTAGAGTGTGATGACCAGGTGTATTAGAGTGTGATGGACAGGTGTATTAAGAGTGTGATGGACAGGTGTATTAGAGTGTGATGGACAGGTGTATTAGAGTGTGATGGACAGGTGTATTAAGAGTGTGATGGACAGGTGTATTAAGAGTGTGATGAACAGGTGTATTAGAGTGTGATGGACAGGTGTATTAGAGTGTGATGGACAGGTGTATTAAGAGTGTGATGGACAGGTGTATTAGAGTGTGATGGACAGGTGTATTAAGAGTGTGATGACCAGGTGTATTAGAGTGTGATGGACAGGTGTATTAGAGTGTGATGAACAGGTGTATTAGAGTGTGATGGACAGGTGTATTAAGAGTGTGATGGACAGGTGTATTAGAGTGTGATGGACAGGTGTATTAAGAGTGTGATGACCAGGTGTATTAGAGTGTGATGGACAGGTGTATTAGAGTGTGATGACCAGGTGTATTAGAGTGTGATGACCAGGTGTATTAGAGTGTGATGAACAGGTGTATTAGAGTGTGATGGACAGGTGTATTAGAGTGTGATGGACAGGTGTATTAGAGTGTGATGACCAGGTGTATTAGAGTGTGATGAACAGGTGTATTAAGAGTGTGATGACCAGGTGTATTAGAGTGTGATGACCAGGTGTATTAGAGTGTGATGACCAGGTGTATTAGAGTGTGATGGACAGGTGTATTAAGAGTGTGATGGACAGGTGTATTAAGAGTGTGATGGACAGGTGTATTAGAGTGTGATGACCAGGTGTATTAGAGTGTGATGACCAGGTGTATTAGAGTGTGATGAACAGGTGTATTAGAGTGTGATGGACAGGTGTATTAGAGTGTGATGGACAGGTGTATTAGAGTGTGATGGACAGGTGTATTAGAGTGTGATGGACAGGTGTATTAAGAGTGTGATGGACAGGTGTATTAGAGTGTGATGACCAGGTGTATTAGAGTGTGATGAACAGGTGTATTAGAGTGTGATGAACAGGTGTATTAGAGTGTGATGAACAGGTGTATTAGAGTGTGATGGACAGGTGTATTAGAGTGTGATGGACAGGTGTATTAGAGTGTGATGAACAGGTGTATTAGAGTGTGATGAGCAGGTGTATTAGAGTGTGATGGACAGGTGTATTAGAGTGTGATGAACAGGTGTATTAAGAGTGTGATGGACAGGTGTATTAGAGTGTGATGGACAGGTGTATTAGAGTGTGATGGACAGGTGTATTAGATTGAGAGGTGTATTAGAGTGTGAGCAGGTGTATTAGAGTGTGATGAACAGGTGTATTAGAGTGTGATGGACAGGTGTATTAGAGTGTGATGAGCAGGTGTATTAGAGTGTGATGAGCAGGTGTATTAGAGTGTGATGGACAGGTGTATTAGAGTGTGATGGACAGGTGTATTAGAGTGTGATGGACAGGTGTATTAGAGTGTGATGAGCAGGTGTATTAGAGTGTGATGAGCAGGTGTATTAGAGTGTGATGGACAGGTGTATTAGAGTGTGATGGACAGGTGTATTAGAGTGTGATGGACAGGTGTATTAGAGTGTGATGGACAGGTGTATTAGAGTGTGATGACCAGGTGTATTAGAGTGTGATGAACAGGTGTATTAGAGTGTGATGAGCAGGTGTATTAGAGTGTGATGGACAGGTGTATTAGAGTGTGATGAGCAGGTGTATTAGAGTGTGATGGACAGGTGTATTAGAGTGTGATGACCAGGTGTATTAGAGTGTGATGGACAGGTGTATTAGAGTGTGATGGACAGGTGTATTAGAGTGTGATGAACAGGTGTATTAGAGTGTGATGGACAGGTGTATTAGAGTGTGATGGACAGGTGTATTAGAGTGTGATGAGCAGGTGTATTAGAGTGTGATGACCAGGTGTATTAGAGTGTGATGGACAGGTGTATTAGAGTGTGATGGACAGGTGTATTAGAGTGTGATGGACAGGTGTATTAGAGTGTGATGGACAGGTGTATTAGAGTGTGATGGACAGGTGTATTAAGAGTGTGATGGACAGGTGTATTAGAGTGTGATGACCAGGTGTATTAGAGTGTGATGACCAGGTGTATTAGAGTGTGATGGACAGGTGTATTAGAGTGTGATGGACAGGTGTATTAGAGTGTGATGGACAGGTGTATTAGAGTGTGATGGACAGGTGTATTAGAGTGTGATGGACAGGTGTATTAGAGTGTGATGGACAGGTGTATTGATGGACAGGTGTATTAGAGTGTGATGGACAGGTGTATTAGAGTGTGATGGACAGGTGTATTAAGAGTGTGATGGACAGGTGTATTAGAGTGTGATGAACAGGTGTATTAGAGTGTGATGGACAGGTGTATTAAGAGTGTGATGGACAGGTGTATTAGAGTGTGATGACCAGGTGTATTAGAGTGTGATGGACAGGTGTATTAGAGTGTGATGACCAGGTGTATTAGAGTGTGATGGACAGGTGTATTAGAGTGTGATGGACAGGTGTATTAGAGTGTGATGGACAGGTGTATTAGAGTGTGATGGACAGGTGTATTAGAGTGTGAGAGTGTGATGAGCAGGTGTATTAGAGTGTGAGAGGTGTATTAGAGTGTGAGCAGGTGTATTAGAGTGTGATGAACAGGTGTATTAGAGTGTGATGGACAGGTGTATTAGAGTGTGATGGACAGGTGTATTAGAGTGTGATGGACAGGTGTATTAGAGTGTGATGACAGGTGTATTAGAGTGTGATGGACAGGTGTATTAGAGTGTGATGACCAGGTGTATTAGAGTGTGATGGACAGGTGTATTAGAGTGTGATGGACAGGTGTATTAGAGTGTGATGGACAGGTGTATTAGAGTGTGATGGACAGGTGTATTAGAGTGTGATGGACAGGTGTATTAGAGTGTGATGGACAGGTGTATTAGAGTGTGATGGACAGGTGTATTAGAGTGTGATGAACAGGTGTGTCGTGTACCTGGACTTGCGTTGGTTGCGGCTGTTCATGCGGGCGGCAGCCTGCTGCTTCAGTTGGATCATGTCCTCCAGCAGGTGTCCTCCTCTGACTTTCTCTTCTAGGAGTCTCGTCTCTGCCTGTCTCTGTCGCTCCAGCAGGGCGTCGTACTCCATCTTCAAAGCCCTGTTCTCCTCTTGAACCTGCTCCACCCGCTCCTGCAGCTCCTTATGGGCATCAAACGCACCCGTCAGCCGATGCTCCTCCTCCAGCAGTCTGGGGGTTAATAACAGAGATCATCAACATCAGTGTCTGTCCCATCAGGTTTCATGTTTCCAGGTGTTCAGTTTGTGCTGCTCATCTGGTATTGGTTTCTTTAAAACATATCGATAAACAGCCCTGACACTGCTGGCTGACTGTAAGTGCTACTGGAAGGATTCATTTAAGTCTAAAGACTAAAACTAATATATTTTTCATTTACGCTTGAAAATGTTTGCTAACAAATCCATGCAGACTGTCGGTGCCTAATCCGTACCGCCTGCCGGATCCATTCTGCACATGCACAAAAGTGGTTCTGTAAGTCAAAGAAGGTTACCGCGAATCTGCCTCTTCAAAATGATGCAACTGTCGTCGTTCAGTGTATTTACAATGGATTTATATCGCTTTGCTTCTGACCTTTCAAAGGAGACCAGAATTATGCATCTAGGCCAAACGGTTGAGGAGTTACTCCTGATTCATTTTAGGTTTGTTATTTTAGGCGTTTTTCCTGGAAAGGTTGGCTGCTGTAGGCTGTGAAAGGGACATGTGAGCTCCTATTGGGTCGAATTAGCTGTCAGTCGAAAGGTCAGAGTTCAGCGGCTAATTTGAATACAAGCTATCGTAGTTCTTTACATTCAAATCGGATTTATTATTAATATAATCAATCGGTGGATTAAGTTACTGTGAGGCTTCAAAAGGTGAGTGAGGTTATTGCCGTTGGCTAGAAAGAGGTTACAGGTTTATTGTTGATCATGTAACCTTACAGTTTTATTTAGTTATAACTTTAGACTGGGTTTGAGAGTCTGGGGAGTGTGTTGACTTATAGTATTTAATAAGATGTCAATAATTGTAGAGGCATTGCACATTAGGCTACATGGTTGTGCTCTGTAAGTTAAAAACAGGTTACAGTTACAGAATTCCTTATAACTCTGCAGTTTTATAAGCACCCTGAATTGAACGCAGCAGCTGATACAACATTCGTAATAACCACGAGAGACTTGACTTGTGAGCATCTCTGTGGGAATGCACTGAAAATATTTTCTCTCAGAAATATTTACAACCTCCTGTGTTCTGAACAATCTGTCCACACCCCTGATCAGACTGAGCCAATCAGCTGTGAGGATCCACAGTGAGTGATGACATCATCGGAGCTGACAGGTGAGCAGGCAGCTTCAGGTGTGTGTGTGTGTGTGTGTGTGTGTGTGTGTGTGTGTGTGTGTGTGTGTGTGTGTGTGTGTGTGTGTTTGTGTGTTACTCACCTGGCATGTTGCTCCTCCAGAACACGTTCCTTGGTTTTAATCTGCTGCTGCAGCTCCACCACCTGATAGGCCAACTGGCCCGGAGCAACAGAAAAACACAGAAGAAGAGTGAGGAGGACCGAGCACTGACAGGAGTTCACCGACCCCGGGGCCGCAGTAACTGTTTAATAGTTACTTACAGTTATTACTCAACTCCGTCATGCAGCTGCTTTTATTTCAGTAATCACTGAGTAATATTTATAACAAGGCTTCGTTTGGACTGAAACGCGGCTGAGAGCCTAACCAGCCTTCCATCTCATTTCAGAGTCACCGTGATCGCCGGTTTCAGACTAGTAAACAACGCTCACGTCAACATCCGAGTCAGAATTGCTACCACAAACATTCCCTCTCTGATCCATAGGGACTACTCCACACCAAACTCCATTCAAATTTAGGTTAAGTTAAAGAACTACAACAAAGAGTGAGACTAAATAAAACATCCACTGTTAACTGAACGAGCTAGACAAAAGACAGCGTGCTAAACGTGTCGACTGTAAACGCCAGTGGTGAAACATGCCAACGTTAGCTACAGAGCTAACTAATGATAGAAAAACAGAGAATTATTTTTCTGTTCATCGCTCTGCCATGAAGAGAAACTCACACCAAACTCCATTCAAATTCTGACAAGTTAAAGATTCTTGAATTTTTTTTTTTTTACTTTTATAGTTTTCAATACCATAAAGAAAAATGATTTTTTGGGATGATTTTTACATTAAGCACAAGATACTTTCCCCGTCTTTCATTATTTTATGGGACTCCTTTGTTTACCTGCTATTATTAGAGACCAGGGTCTCTTTTACAGCTGAGCCCTGTGTCAAGCACACAGATACAAACATCAATAGCAGATATAAATATATATAATGTAATTTTTAAAAATTTAAAAACAATTTACAGGTAACAATTACATTTGTAAGGAAACCAGGACATCAAGTTTAAACTTTTCCTTTAAATTCACTGCAAGAATTTGCAGCATTATATTCAAAGGCTGTTTTCCCCGCTCAGAAAGGCCTCGAGGAGACCAGACTGCAGGCAGGCCAGTCTGGCTCTCATTGAAAATGTGTGGCGCATTATGAAGCGCAAAATATGACAACGGAGACACCGGACTGTTGAGCAACAGAAGTTGTACATCAAGCAAGAATGAGAAAGAATTCCAGCTACAAACAAGCTTCAACAATTAGTGTCATCAGTTCCCAAACGCTTATTCACTGTTGTTAAAAGGAAAGGTGATGTAACACAGCGGTAAACATTCCCGTGTCCCAGCTGTTTGGAACGTGTTGCAGGCATCAAATTGTGAATATTTGCAAAAACAATAAAGTTTATCAGTTTGAACATTAAATATCTTGTCTTTGTAGTGTATTAAATTGAATATAGGTTGTATTCTGGTTTTATTTACGTCTTACACAACGTCCCAACTTCATTGGTTGTACCAAGGTATTTAAGTTTTTATACAAACAGGGATAGTGCACATTAAAAGACATTTCTGAATCTTGGCTAACTGTCTCGAGACAGTCCGCGTTAATTCGTCGTGGATCTGTTTCATCACTTTGCAGCTTGTAATTTTGGGACCAAGCTAATGTAACTTTTAACAAAAAGCAGTGCAGCCAGTCGCTGATCCCTGATCTGTGCAAATGCACTCTGTGACACGCCCGTCACATGACCAGGTGTTCCTGTCAGTACCTCTCCTGTAGTTTTCTTCAGCTGGTTGTTGTGGTGAAGCAGAGAGGAAATGGAGCTGCTGCGGTCAGGGGAGGGACGTCTGGACACACAAAACAAACACACCCTCAGCATCATCCCCCACACACACACAGTGAATTACAGTCAGGTGTGTCCAGGTACAAACAGACAGCAGGTGAGTTACCTGACGGAGCAGCTCAGAATTCCTTTGGCCAGACTGGTTTTGTCCAGCAGCTGAGTGTCTGAAAATACAGAGAGCAGAATCAGCGGAGCCATCGGGAGGAAACTGATCCTGCTTTCTACCTGATCAGGACTTCATGTCACCTGTCCTGCAATCTGCTGAAACATTCAACACAGTCTTAGGACCACTGTGAGGAAAACAAATCCTCAAGATCAGAATTACAACCAGAAACATGATTCTAGAAGCTCCGATCCACAGGGGCCAGTCTGCACCAAAATCCATTCAAATTCTGACAAGTTAAAGAACTACAACAAAAAGGGGGACTAAATTAAACATCCACTGTAAACTGAGTCAGCATGCCGGATGTGTCGACAGTCAGTCGCTAAGACATGCTAACATTAGCTACAGAGCTAACTAATGAGAACTTCAATTGTAAAACAGAACTGGGATTTATTTTTCTTGCTGTGGTTTCTGCTCACAGCTCTGCCATGAAGAGAAACTCACACCAGACTCCATTCAAATTCTGACAAGTTAAAGATTCCTGCCTAGTGTCCTGCATTTCAAGTATTTTTTTGAATTTTGAACTCAAATAGTTTTGAATGCATAAACATACACATACATACAATATATAAAATGAGCTTTGTAAAAAAACTGGGATTTTTACATTATGCGCAAAATACTTTCCCCCTCTTTCATTATTTTAAAGGACTCCTTTGTTTACACTCCTACTATTATTTATTTATGTCTTTATACAAACAGGGACAGCCCACGTTAATAGTTATTTCTGAAAATGTGCCATTTTAACCTCTTCGAGCCATTTCAATCTGGTTTCAGGACACATCATAGCACAGAAACTGCCCTCATTAAAATCACAAACGACCTTCTCGTGGCAGCTGACTCTGGCCATGTCAGCCTCTTAATTCTTCTCGACCTCTCTGCAGCCCTCGACACAGTCTCCCACTCCAACCTTCTCACTCGCCTCACTGGTACTGTGTATTCCTGGTTTCAATCCTACCTCACCAACAGGCAACAATGCATCACCCTTAAGGGCATCTGCTCTGAATTCACACGGCGTGCCTCAAGGATCGGGGCTTGGCCCGCTACTATTCAATATCTACATGCTACCTCTTGGGATGATCATCTGGAAACTACACTTCCACTGCTACGCTGATGACACCCAGCTCTACATCAGCACTAAGTCATCTACTCCCTTTCCACCAGCGTCGCTTATAACTGCCTGAAGGACATAAAGAACTGGATGGACAGTAACCTCCTCAAACAGAACTCATGGTGTTTGCCCCACAGTCACTTCTCAAAAAGGTTGGTGACATCAGACTGGATGTGGATGGCTGCTCAATCTCTGCATCCCCTCAAGTACGCAACCTGGGCGTCATCATGGACTCCTTCCAACTGCACATCAAAAACACTACTAAAACTGCCTTTTACCATCTTAAGAACATCTCCAGACTCCAACAGTGCCTCCCCAACTCCTTCACCAACTCCCAACTAGACTACTTTAATGGTAACCTGTTCGGTCTGCCCAGCAACTGACTACTGACAGACTCCAGCATGTCCAGAACAACCACACAAAACTTGGACTTCACATAACTCCCATTTCTGAAGAAGCTTCACTGGATGCCAGTTAAGTCCCGGATCAAATATAAAATCTTGCACCTCAGTACCTCACAGATCTACTCCATCCCTACACTCAGTCACGGTCCCTGCGGTCCTCTGACAAGGACCTGCTCGCTATCCCTAATTCCAGGCTCCGGACATTTGGTGACAGAGCTTTCTGTGTCGGTGCACCATCACTCTGGAACAAGCTTCCTCTTGCCATCCGCTCTGCCTCCTCTACAACAACCTTTAAAACCCATCTTAAAACACACCTCTTCACTGAGGCCCCACCCCCTTGTTTGTTAAGCGTCTTTGGGTTTGTGAAATGCGCTATATAAATCAAAGTTATTATTATTATTATATCATCATCTTGGTGTAGTGACAGCTACCAAACAGACATACATATATTGAAGATTTGTGTGCAGTTAACTGATGGTTACATATATTTATGGTATATCTATTTCTTTTGGTTTCTTAGTGACTTTCAACCCTTAATTTTGCTCATATGTTGGTATCTGAGATTATGTCTCTCTGCAGGTCCATTTATCGTTGCTGATGAGTTTGATCCATCAGCATCATGTTCTCAGCAGCAGCAGACTGATAGTCTGTCACAGATGAGTCACGACACAGAGGAAGTGGAACAACACGTGGTTTAGTTTTGAGAAAACTTTCTGGGCCTCAATGGCAACAAAAGAAATGTGTTGTTTTCTGTCAACAGAGTTTCTCAGTTTGCTTTTGGAGCTGTGATTTCACAGCTGACAATTGAAACACCTCAATTTCAGCCTTGTGATTGCAAACTAGTAAAAAATACCATATTTTCAAATGGAGTTTGGTTAAAGGCTCCTGCAGCTGTCTCCCTTGTTACCTGACACAAACCTAAACCCAGCCCAGACACAGATAAAACGAGTACTTGTCCGTCGTACAGAAGCGGATCAGGTCCTGGAACATGGCGTGCTGGCTCAGGTCTCGGTGCTTCAGCTGACTGACGATGTCCCTCTTCCAGGTCTCCGCCGACCTGCCGCCGCCGCCCGGAGCCGGGACCCGGCCGCTGCGCCGCGACTCTGCGGGTGAATCCGTCATGATTGTGCGGGTGTTGGATGTCACAGCAGCCATGATGTCCGCAGCCCGGGCTGCTTCATGCCGCTTCCCCGCTCTCAGAGGCTCCCAGACCGGCCTGGCGTTACAGACAGCTCCGGGACAAAGTTCCGACGCTCCCAACCGCCGCCATGTTGGTCACACTCCGATCGTTGTTTACGTTTCTTCTTCTTCTCTGATGTTTGTTTGTTTTGTTGTTGTTGTTGTTCTTAAAACTTTTCCCCCTTCAGAGGCGTCACTCGGACTGGGGCGGTGCTGAGGCTGGAGGCTGCGGGGTAAACACCGCCCGCTCCCAGCTCTTCCTGTTTTGACTTGAGGAACAAAAGAGAAAAACAAACACACCCAGCGGGACACCTGTGAATTCAATCAGAAACAACATGGACATTTTCTCTCTCTAATTTAATGATGGATGTAAGGAGACTCTCAAGTCACAGAATACTGTATTTTTCCAATGGAGTTTGGCTCCTACTACTCCTGAAAACAAGCTTTCTTTGTTGTGACCGCTGTAAACTTTTTTGAATTGTTCATCTTATTTAATTTTTATGGGATGTCTCTGAACCAAACTCCATTAAAAAAAACCTCTTTACTGTCAAACACGTTCATTGCTAACGCAATTTTGGTTTGGTTGTATGGAAGCCCATTTCTGCCAATGTGATGGCGGAAAAAAGATCCTGTTAAGTGTTTGAGAAAATATTTACTTAGTATTATAAGTCATTATTTTGAGATCCTAACTGTGTTCACACTGAATTTAATATTCATTTGACCGCTGGACATTTTGAGTTTTCGCAAACAGCACGTTTTAAGCAAATAAACAACCCGCGGATACTACAGCTGTATGAACCCAAAGTAAACCCTTTGCTGTGCAAATAAACAATCAAACTGATGCTGAAATAGCTGCAACATGATGCAGATTTGTTAAACATATGAATTGATGCTTTGTCAGGTCTGTCAGCAGGACAACAACTTTTAAAATGTTTGTTTTCTGAATGGAGTTCGGATCGATCAGGGCTATGCTAGTGAAGATAAATCAAGTTGTAATCCCAAAAACTAAAGTAAAAAGCTAATTTAATAAATGCAGTTAACTCTGAGCTCCTCCCGCGGGTAAACGGCGTAGTTTTCAGAGCAGAATCCAGACCGACTATGGGGGTTTATTTGACCGAAAGCTGCAGCGCTGCTCCCCGTACACTTCCCCGTTCTTTAGCAGCTCTCCGTCGGCCAGCGGATTGTCATTACACCGCTCGCCAGGTCCTCTTCCAAACAACGCTCCGAAGCCGCCGGTGACTCTTGGACAATCTCACTGCTGACAGGCTTTCGCAACATCATGTCAAGCGAATTTCTTGCCCAAGTTGAAAAATTTTAACTTGCGTGAACCAGCGAATGTCAAATGCCTCCTTCGTGCTGGATTCGCTTTAAGTGTGAACACACCTTTAGTCAATATTTTATATATTAGCAAAAAGCCGCTCTGAGACTTTGAAAAACAGATTTAAGGTAGTTTTTTTTTTTCAGTCAGTGGAGGATTTTGTTTTTCCTGAAATAAGATTTAAATTTTTGTCCAGAGTTAAAATTAACAACTAACCTGATCATCTACCATAGTCCAAACATAATAACGTAATATTTTGTGTAAACATCTGCTAAGAGCGATCATTAGATCCTTTATAAATAAGATTTTATGACCTTCGTCTCTATTTACCTGAAAATAAAAACATTTAAAACCCTGGAATAAAAAATTAAAACTCTGAGAGACACTTTAAACATTTATTAAACACGCGAAGCAGTTTATGTACAAACAGTGATTTAAAAAACAAAAACATTTTGCTGCCATTAAAAAAAACATAAAGTGCGTCATTAATACTGATGTGTTTAAAATCAAAGTCACAGGTGTTAAAGTGAACTTTGTCCTCTTTCAGCCTCCGTACTAAAAGGCAGCAGAGCGACTGGTGCCGTTCAGATGCGGTTCAGTTTGTTCTGGGTCATCTGAACCAGCAGCTCAGAGTATTTCTCCAGCAGAGACGTCGTCCCGTCGTCCTGCAGTCCACCAGAGAGGGCGCCGCTGCCCCGCCCGTCTCCGGCCGGCAGCACCTTCCGCAGCTCAGAGTGAACGACATCAAACGCCTCCTGCAGGACGGATGACATCTGAAGACGCGGCTCCGAGCCGCCGGCCGACTCGCTGAGCTGCAGGAGAGACACGAAACATCTAGATCACAACAGTGTTAGGACGAGAACATCAAGACGAGAAGACGAGAACAAAAGTCCTGATAGTTCAAGAAGCTACGGGATCCAAGCTGCAACACACACAAGCTTGAGTGCTGTGTTTCCGAAAGTTATCTCAAGCTTTTAGGTTATAGAAATAGGGTTGGGTATCAAGTACCAAACTTCCACGACCCATGGACTCTTTAAGACCTGTGCGTTTGGATCCTGCTTCTCGGTTCCGAACTTCCTGCACATCTCAGCTCCTGACTGAACTGCAGTGAACATTTTAGTCCATCAAAGTGTCTCTTATGATGGAAACGACAAAATTAGAAAAAGACATTCTTAATTTCGCGAAAAAGTTTTTACGCCCGCTTAAGGTGTTTTTTGCCTTTGTCAAAAGGTAAAAGTGCTAAACGGGAGATGGAAACACTTTCTGAATAAGTTCTGACGTAGCGAACTTGTAACTCACGACTGATCAGCTGTTTCTGCTGTCGGCGTCTCGCCCGGTTGTGCAGAGTTCTGCACGAATTTCCTGCAGCTTGCGGCCAGTAACGCTCATTTGTGCTGAGAAAAGAGGTGGATGCAGATCTGGGCAGGAAGCCTTCATCAGCTGTTCTGCTGAATGATGCGTTCACCTCTTAAAGGTCCTTCTCAGATCCTTTAACAGGTGATCACCGCATGTTGCTGCTGAGTCTCAGTGAACGCTGCTTCTGCTGAGTGTGAAGAAATATTAACTCTAAACGTTCATAAAATAAATACTTTGATTTGTTTATCACCGTTGATGAACCCCACAGAGGATATTACAGTGTTACAACATTATCTGGAGGTGCATGCAGAACTCTGCAGAACACCGGATATTCCCATAATGCTCGGAGACATGGCTGGCAGCAACTTGCCCGCTTGAAACACATTCCTGAGGACCTCTCTGTTTTTCTCAGATCAGTGGCCCTCAGGTTCCTGCTACTGGTTTTGTTTCTGGTTTGGAACCCAGACGTGACTACGCTCGCCAAACCAGCTGATGGAAACGCACATATGTCAGTTTCTTTTTTGTGACATTTCAAATGTACGCTTAAAATTCGCAAGACAATTGGATGGAAACATGATTATCGGTAACCAGAAGCTGCCGAGTATAACAGGTTCCTGTTTCAGTGGTGAGTTCACAATCATCCCTCTCACACTCTGAATTAGCCGGCGTGTAGCTTTAGCAAAGCTGCTCTTAAAACCTCACCATCTCTGGTCACTTTTCTGGACAGAATTTTAAAATTGTTATTTAATTATTCTTCCTTTGGAGCCCAAAACTCTAAATAATACATTTGGCATCTGAATTAGTGTTAAAATAGCCGTTAGTGGAACATTGAAACGCTCACTTGACCAATTGTCTTAATGAATGTTTTATAATTATTTGTGATGTCGTCTTTTTCAGCTTTTTCAGGTCTTCTCTTGCTTGTTTACCAGTTTTACATACTTGGTGTATACTTAGGGCTATTTCTGTGGCTATCGTCCGGGATGATGGAGGAAATTGGCATAATTATCTAGTTTCTTTCTGTCTGAATGCTGTTGGTTTATGTCTATAATGGTAAAGGGATTCCTGGGTGGCAGAGGGATGGATGATGTTTGTTAGCTGTTTTTGAATTTCGATTTTACTGTGCAAGAAACTGTCGTTTCCCGTGTGTCTCTTCTAGGACTGAAAGCAGAGTCATCTGTCAGCGGGCGGATTCAAAAGAACGGAAAAAACAATCAGACAGACAGGAAGTCCACCTGTTGGTAGAGCAGCACGGCTCGTCTCGCTGTCTGTCTCAGCTCGTTGGCGACCTGCTGGCACTGCTGCAGACTGACCGACTCCTCAACACCACCTGAACCTGCAACAACAAACATCCTGATGAGTTATATCTCCTCAGAGTTCATCGTGAGGGCGGCGGTTAAACTGCACAGGAACCGATCGGTACGAGCTGACAGATGGACGTTACCTGTCTGAACGGGGCGGAGGGTTTCTGACAGGGGAGAAGAGGAAGAGGTGGGCGGGTCAAAGAACACCTCAGCTCCCAAAGACGGGTCTGATGAACAAAAACAGAAGACGGATCGAAGGTCGTCATCTCAGCAAGGTCGACAAAACAGCAAAAAACTTTTAAAAATAATTTTAATATTGTCAAAGCAACATTTAGAGATGTTGCTTCTGTCTGTATCGCCTACCTAGATCACTCTGGATTCTGGTCTCAGATCCTCCTGAACCTTCCTCCTGTCTGTTGGCGGGGCAGGTGATGTCACACGTGGAGGGCGTGGCTCTGGGTGTGATGGAGGGGGTGGGGCTGAGGATGAGCGTTTGGTTTAGATTCGTCAGCGTCTCCTCGACGCTGCTCACGCTCAACCCCCTGACTTCGCCCAGTGACCTCACCTCAGTGGGCGTGGCCAAGCCCATGTGATGCTGAAGCTCCTGGGAGGATAGAGCGTCACTGTCGGAAGCAAAGAGAGCGAGAGACGGCGTGAATATCTGTAAATTAAATGTTAAATACAAAAAGCTAACAGGAAAAAGTGGGCCGGCAGTCGGACCAGGCGTCACCTGCTGGTCTGGTCCTGATGGGGCTCAGTTTTGGTGCTGTGCAGGTCCAGACCAGCAGACAGCAGGGGGGAAGGAGGCTGGAGGTCTGAGGAGCAAGACACATTCTTCTTCTTCTCCTCATCCTCGTCCTCGGTTGAGGTGGGAGTGTCTTGGCTCAATTTGGCCCTGGAGCTGGCGGTGGTTCCCAGGTATCCGAGCCGAGGGCCGCCATGCTGGACTGCAGACGCAAGGCTGCTGTTGTGGGCCAACAGAGTCCTGGAGGTGACGTCTGATTGGCCGAAGAAGCAGAAGGTCAGAAACTTAAAACTGACGACGGATTAAAAGAGAAACTCAGGTAAAGACGGAAAGGAGAGTGATCTTTAAAGCAGACTAGCTGATGAAGTTCGAGTTCTGTTCAGACGGGATAACGTTTCAGGGGAGGGATCTTATTGATCAGCCTCACAGATTTAGGACCAGATCCGATATGAAGCAGAATCCCACACCGTCGGGGTGAAGTGACAGAAGACAGGTGCACCTTCGACCTTGTGAGTTTGACACCAGACAGAAAACACCCAGGTGTCCACACACACACACACACAGACTCACACACCTCGC